ACCCTTTTTAGGTGTATAATCCTATAAAATTTGACAAATAAATACCCTATAATCTAGATACAGAACATTTCCAACACCCCCAAAATGTTCTTATTTCTGCCTCAGTTTTAAGAGCTGGATTGTATTCAGTTATATGTCTTTACCTTAATTTTCCTAAATAACCTCTCCTTGATTCATGTTTAGGTTATTTCCAGTTTTGGCAGTTCAAACAAGGTGCAGTAAATATCTTTGTACATAAATTTTGGTGTGCTTTTGCAGTCATAGAGTAAATTTCTAGCAGAGGATTGATAGAATCAATGGTTAGGTACCTTTAAGATTGTGATAGAGATGGCCATATGGCCTTGCCCAAAAATTGTCCTAATTTGCTTCCCAACCAATTACAGATGAGAGTGCCTATTACTCTCTCTCTTGTTAATATTGAGTGCCAGCAAATTTAATTTTTGCTTTTCTTTTTTTTTTTGAGGCAGGGTCCTGCTCTGTTGCCCAGGCTGGAGTGCAGTGTTACGATCTTGGCTTACTGCAACCTCCGCCTCCCTGGGCTCAGGCGATCCTCCCACCTTTGCTTCCTGAACAACTGGGACTACAGGTGTGCACCACCATGCCCAGCTAATTTTTGTATTTTTTTAAAGATGGGGGTCTCACTATGTTTCCCAGGCTGGTCTCAAACTCCTGGATTCAACCAATCCACCTGTCTTGGCCTCCCAAAGTGCTGGAATTACAGGCATGTGCCACCATGCCTGATCAATTTTTGTTAATTTGATGGGAAAATATTACCTAGCAAAGTAACTTGCATTCAGTGGTGTTTCTTTTATTCATATTAAAAATATACCTATACAAAAACCAAAAACATACCAGAGTTTACACACACACAAACTATAATCCATGTTGTTTCTTCTTAAAACCACCGTATTATACTAGAGGAAATGGGGATAGAAAAATTTCATCTTTGTTTCCATTATTCTCAACATGATTTTCATTTTCTGCTTATCTATATCTACATTTTGGTAATCATACCAAATTGTTCCTGAATAAAATGTACATGTGCAAAGTGTACATACATAGGTTATGTTAAGATGATTATAAAAATATGTGCATGTATAATTTGTGTTCTGCTTGCTTTTTAGTTCACATTATTTCATGAACTTTTTTTGTTTTGAAAATCTTCATTTTAATAGTTTTTGGCTGTGGTGAAGTTTGTTTAATAATTCCACTCTAAAATTTGTTTCCAATATTTTTGCTATTGTTAATAAGACTTCAAATGCCATCTTTTACATATCAAAGGTTTTTTTTAATCCACTTAAATTATTAGGATAAATCTCTACTGGTCTTATTCCTCTGAATCTGAATATATTAACATTGACATGTGAGGGTAGAATTTATCATTTGAATTTTTTTTTCACTTCACTGGAAATTCAGCCACTTCTCCCTGAAGAAGTAAGCAATTGCATGTCAATTTTCTTCTATTCCAGATTAATCTGTTTATTTTTCTCCTTACATTAAAATATTCTAGGCTGGATGCGGTGTCTCACGCCTGTAATACCAGCACCCTGGGAGGCCGAGGTGGGTGGATCATCTAAGGTCAGGATTTCAAGACCAGCCTGGCCAACGTGGCGAAACCCCATCTCTACTAATAATACAAAAATTAGCCAGGCATGGTGGCACACACGTGTAATCCCAGCTACTTGGGAGGCTGAGGCAGGAGAATTGCTCCAACCCAGGAGGCAGAGGTTGCAGTGAGCCCAGATTGCACCACTGTACTCCAGCCTGGCGAGAGAGTAAGACTCTGTCTGAAGAAATAAAATAAAATAAATCTTTTAATGTATGCTGTTTGTAAAGATTTCACACTTGCTTTCCAGAGGTAATCCACTGTTATGTAGTAAGTTTAGTAAATTTTTTTTAAATGGAATTTTCTCAATAGGTCATTAATATGTTTCAAAGCTGAAAAATTACATAACAGTGTATAGTGAAAAGTCTCTTTCTTTCCCTTGTGTCCCAAGCTACCTAGTTCTTGGAGCCAGTTGATATTATCAGATTCTTTTGTATTCTTTCAGACATACATGGTATGCATTTTTGAGCAAAGGTGTGTTGGTGTATGTCCTCATTTTTAAAGTCATAAATGTTATGCTACAAATACTATTTTCATAAATTTTCTTAAGTAACTTTATTTCATTTATTTGTATTTAATTTTGAAAAATTAGATACTACATGCACATGATTCAAAAATAAAATGATGTAAAGGCTAACAAATGAATAGGCTGTCCCCTGTTCCCGTTCACCGTCTGCTAGATACCATCTTTCACTGAGTCTTTATGTATGGAGAAGCAAATAGGAAGTGACACAGTTTTGTTTTTTTCTGCTCTTGTAACTCTTACACTAACCTTTTCCTATCTAAGAAAGCAGTATCACATGGTCCTTAAGAGCAGAGTCTCTGGGGCCAGCTCCCTGCATTCAGATCTCTGCTGTGCTCTGTATCATCATTGTGGTCCCAAGCAAATGTTTTACTCTGTCGGTGCTTTACAGTCTTCAGATGTAAAATGAGTCACTACATATACTTCACTTAGAATAGTACTATACATAAATATATGTGTTTGCTAGTATTACTATTTTTATTAAGAACAGGGATGAATAACATTATATCCAAGAATCACTACCAATCAGTTTGATTTGTATTTGTGATGTGTATGGATATGGCTAAATTCATGGGATTCCTCACTTACTTGAATTTTACTTAAATACATTTTAGAGAATATTAGAAAATAATGTAGCTGAAATTTATTTAATTTTGTGGTTCCTTTTTGGGTTCATAGTTTTTTTGTTTTTACATATACTTCTTTAAATATATATTAAAACTAAACGGGCATACATTCTTTATATAGTAAATGTGTCCTAGAGAAGATGAGGGTAGATAGAGATGGCTGTTAAGAATATGAACTTTTTGTATAGTGCATTGTAATTGGAAACTGCTTTCTCATGCATTTTTCATAATCTCAAATTTGATTGATTAATGAATACATAGCTATATATAATATTTATTTTTAGGTGACAGTGGCCCATAGAGTTTTAAAATTCCCTGGCCGTAGCTTTTTAGGATTAAATCATTAATTAAAGTTTCTTAAGTCAAACAAGAAGCAAGGGGGACTGAAGTATGTTTATGTTTCAATTATTCCATCTTCAGTTGTTTTTCTTTTTAAAAGACAAAGCAACAGCAAAACTTCTCTTCCCCCTTCCCACCCTCAGATCCCAGTTACAAAATATGTTCATCGTAGAAAATACAAAAATATAGAATAAACACGAGGAAAGAGAATCACCTTAGTACCACCTTCCAGCTTAATATTATTTCTGTTAACAATTTGGTATCTAGACTTCTTGGCTTTTTTCTTTTATTTAGATAAGCTCACACAGTCATTCATGTTATTGACTGCCTTTTACAGTGATGGTATACACTGATTGGTGTAATTAAAAAAAAAAAAACAGTATCATGAACATTTCGATCATGCCATTAAATCATCTATAGGATCATTTATAGTAGGTGCATCACATTCCTTTGAGTACATATAGCACACTGCAATTGATTTTGTAACATATATTTGTGTTATATTAAAACCAAATTGCATCAGTATGCAAATGTTCAGACATATCCTTTTGCATATCCATTATTTCCTAATGTTAAAATTCTCAGACATGAGATTATTGGGTTGTAGGAGATGCACTTTCTCATACTTTTGATACATACAGCCAAACTGTTCTCCAGATAGTTGTTACCTCCCTACATGCTTGCCAGTATGGGATATTTTGTTGGGATAAACCCATGCCCATTTGAGACCCAAATGTCTCCCCTTACGAACTGGTGCAAATCACTGACAGTGCCTCTACCCCATCTCTTCTTTCCACTTTCACTTCCCTTTGTCTCAGTTCTTCTGTATCCTTCCTTGCTTTCACCTCAGAACTTCACAGAAGCTGGATTTAATGCAGGGTAGAGAAGGAAGCTCTTTTGAATGCTCTTCCTCACTCCTCACCTCCTGCTTAGTTCATTTGTTATGTAAAATATTCTTGGGGCTTTGTACAACATCCAGTTTTTTAAAAATCATACCCATTGTTTTCAGTTTTCGTGTTTCACATTTGTGACTTTGAGTAAGTTCATCTATTACACTCGTGAAGTGAGCTCATGCTTTAGCATGGTGGTTACTGAAGTAACCATCTCTGGAATCCCATAGACCAGGGTCAGGTCCTCGCTCCTGCTCTTGTTGACTGGCCTTGGGATCTAGGATATGTTATTTTACCCCTACAGCCCTTCTGTTTCTTCACTTGTAAAAAGGAGATAATGCTAATATTTTCCTCAGGATTTTGTGGGGATTTACAAAGGTGATGCTTATAAGTGGTCAATACACTGCCTAAATATAGTAAGCCTGCAGTAGGATAGCAGTTATTGTTACCTCATCTGACTGTCACAACATGTGTGAATCAAGCGAAGAGTATATCTCTCCTGCATTTCAGTAAACAGGAGCTGAAAGCTGGAATTCTCTTCCTGTCTTTCCATCTGATAAGTGGTGTCCTAAATTCCTAAATGGTGGTCCCAGAGTCCTAACTTGAGGTTGAATCAAGTTCATCTGTAAGGACTATCACAAAGTGGGACAACGGAAGTTAGTGCAGGGATTGTGCCTCATAGAGTAATCTGGAACAGCGTGAGAAATTTCAAAAGCTTTGCATACGGGTCTTGAGAGGTGCAGCTTCCAAAAGCCTCAACAGACTTCTGGCAAGTAGGTGAGAAGATGCACTTAGTTCCAGGAGAAGAGGACTGGCTTTTGTGTGTCTTGACGTAGGAGGAGAGGATACTGTATCTGAGAAATTTCCAGACACAGATGCCAAAGAGTCTTCACAGAAAACATTTCAAGTTGACTGAGCACTGAGAGCAAAACATTTAATAGGTTTTTCTACTTCGGCTTAAATTGCTTTAAATGCATATGGCTAATTAGGTTTTAATCCTAACTTGTTTCCAACAGGGCATGGTGCTGATGTGAAATGTGTAGACTGGCATCCAACCAAAGGGTTAGTTGTTTCAGGAAGTAAAGATAGTCAACAGCCAATCAAGTTCTGGGATCCCAAGACTGGGCAGAGTCTTGCAACACTGTAAGTGATAGGAACCTCACCTTAGCCCCTGAACCAAGGGGGGCAAAGCAGTGTATCCTTTAACTTTCAGCTTTATTTTCTGTTATGTATTTCTGAAAAAGTCATTTAGGCAACAGATGGACTTGGATCTGTAGACTTATTAATTATGATTCATCTCTGAACTCTTAATGAAGTAAGGCTTGTTTTTGTCCTGCCACATAGACCTAACTTTAATTTGGTTGCTATGTGAGGGTGGGGAGGAGGATGAGGAAAGAGGTAGTTACTATTCTAGCCTATTGTCTTTCATCAGAATACCTGTGCCACTGTGAGGAGCTGGTGTGTGTGCCCCTTACTAGACACATCCCAGCCTTCTCCATGTTACAACATCTATTTCGAGAGGGTTTCCTCTGTTTTTGAACCAGTTCTTATGTTTTGTGACGTGCTTACCTATGATGCAGCTGTGTAATCTAGTTTTCTCTTTCAGTTATTTGTGAACATCCACAGCTACATGAATCTTAACTTAACTTTTTTTGACCAAGTAGCTATATGGTCTTTGTGATTGGGAAGAGAACCATACTCAAAGTGAATTGCTTGGAGCAAGGCTGCTTTGTTGTGCAGCCCCAATGGCCATGTCAACCTGGAATGCCTTGTGAATGGTCCCTTGGAGATGTGCAGGCCGGGGGCTGTTGCACTGTTTTTAGTTCAAATTAACCTTCAGACTTTCCAGTGTCCATTTTTATGCTTTGTCTTAATTAGAGAAAGTTCATTGAATTTTTGAAATGTAGTGAGCTTTATTGAATATTATTTTCTGTATTCATGTGCTTTCCTGCTTCACAGACAAACTTTACTGTTCAGTGGAAGCTTTGCTGCTGTTTTATTTATTTATTTATTTATTATTATTTTGAGACAGAGTCTTGCTCTGTTACCCAGGCTGGAGTGCATTGGTGCGATCTTGGCTCACTGCAACCTTCACCTCCCGGGTTCAAGTGATTCTCCTGCCTCAGCCTCACAAGTAGCTGGGATTACAGTGGCATGCCATTACGCCTGGTTAATATTTGTATTTTTAGTAGAGATGGGGTTTCACTATGTTGACCAGGCTGGTCTCGAACTCCTGACCTCAGGCGATCCACCCGCCTTGGTCTCTCAGAGTGCTAGGATTGTAGGCGTGAGCCACCACACCCGGCCTCTGCTGCTGTTTTAACTGGTTGATGAGAGCTGTCTGTGTTTGGGCAGTGCGTATTATTTCTGTCATTTTGCTGTTACTTTCAAGTGTGTTTTTAAATGTGATTCTGTAATGTTACATGCTTTATCATTCTAGGCCCTATCTCTTGCCATGTTGATCCATTTGCTTTTCAACAAAAGTGGCCATTATATTTACACTTGTTTTGAATTCTGACCTTTTTTTCTTTGTTTCTAGTCATGCCCATAAAAACACAGTAATGGAAGTGAAATTAAATCTCAATGGCAATTGGCTGCTCACAGCATCACGTGACCATCTCTGTAAACTTTTTGATATCAGAAACCTAAAAGAAGAGCTTCAAGTCTTCCGAGGTCATAAGAAAGAAGCCACAGGTTAGCGGTTGTGGTATGATTCTCATTGACAACTGTTACCTATAGATTCTCAGATCCTGATAATTGTGTCTTTTCCCATGTTTTCGTTTTGCAGCTGTGGCCTGGCATCCTGTTCATGAAGGACTTTTTGCCAGTGGAGGGTCTGATGGTTCTTTGTTATTCTGGCATGTTGGGTATGTAAGATTTATGATGTGAAAAAGTAGTGTATTTTTTTAAGAGAGCACCTGAATGTGTGCAGACAAGATAGTTTTCTAATTTTTTTGTGTTCATACATCCTATATTAGAGACTGTTTGCAGTTTTCAATTTTGTAAATCCAGCTTGGAATAAAAAATATACCTCTGTTTGTAGATATGGAAGTCATTAAAGGAGGATTCAATTGGTTTCCTAGTTTCTGTTAGTGAAATAATGCTTGCAGTCTTTTCTCTTATGAAGTGCTCTTTGGATGAAAGGGTAAATGTCCTTTGGCAATGGCAAGCCAATACCCCTGTGACATGTGGAATTCACGGGAGTCCAAATCCAGGCTTTGGTAGCTTCGTTTTAAGGCTAACAGAAAATGTCTTTTTTGAGGCAGAGGGAGGAGCTGGGTAACTTTTGTGAAAAAGTCTTCTCTCTTTGGTGCTGTTGCAGGGTAGAGAAGGAAGTGGGTGGGATGGAGATGGCCCACGAAGGGATGATCTGGAGTCTGGCTTGGCATCCTCTCGGGCATATTCTCTGCTCAGGCTCCAATGACCATACTAGGTAAGCTTTATATTGAAATAGCAAAGCTTTATATGGAGCAACACGAAATAAATACTGCATATGTTTATTTTTATTGGTTGATTGATATATTAATTTATATTCCAACTTATTCTTGGCAACATTTTTGTAATAGTTTACAAATACTTATATTGCAATAAAGAGATTGGGTATTGAATATGACTTTGGTTATTCAAATTTTGTTTTGCCTTCTTTTTTAAAACAATTTTTCTACGGGTTTTTTTTTTTTTTTTTGAGACAGGTTCTCTGCCCAACCTGGTGTGCAGTGGCACAGTTTTGGCTCACTGTAGCCTCAACCTCTGTGGGCTCAGGTGATCCTCCTATCTCAGCCTCCTGAGTAGCTGGGACTATAGGTGCACACCAGTAGTCCACACCGATTACCACACCTGGCTAATTTCTGCATTTTTTGTAGAGATGGGGTTTCACCATGTTGCCTAGGCTGATTGTCGAACTCCTGGGCTCAAGCGATCCTCCTGCCTCAGCCTCCCAAGGTGCTGGGATTACAGGCATGAGCCACCTTGCCCAGCCCCACATTTTATTTTTATTTTTATATATTTTTAAGAGACCGAGTCTCACTCTGTCACCTAGACTGGAGTGCTGTGGTGAGATCACAGCTCACTGCAGCCTCAAACTCCTAGGCTTAAGCCATCTTCCCACCTTAGCCTCTTGAGTGGCTGAGATTGCAGGCATATGCCACCACACTCAGCTAACTTTTAAATTTTTATTTTGTAGAGACAAGGTTTCACTATGTTGCCCAGGCTGGGCTCGACTCCTGAACTCGGTCTTCCTGCCACAACCTCACATTTTTAATTTGTAGAAGAAACGAATTGTAAAAATTTGTTGTGTTTACCAAAGGTCTGCCTAGTACTGTTAAGTGCCCAGAAAAATACTGACACCATGCATCTCTTCTCATCTCATTACTTTTACAGCAAATTCTGGACTCGAAATCGACCAGGTGATAAAATGAGAGATCGATACAATCTAAACCTTTTACCTGGAATGTCTGAAGATGGAGTAGAATATGGTGAGACTCTTGCACATCTGTCCTTTGAAATCTGATATTGTGTTATAGAAGTGTTTGATATTGGGAAGATTATACAAAATGAATTTTAATTTTATAGATTTATTTATAAATCATCAGTGACATTCATTTTTATAAAGCATTAATTTTATCAAGTCTCTACTTTTGTAAATTTTCTATTGACAGTGGTGTATTACTATTTATAGATGACCTTGAACCTAATAGCCTGGCAGTAATTCCAGGAATGGGAATACCAGAACAACTAAAATTAGCAATGGAACAAGAACAGATGGGTAAGAAGTTACACAGATATATTTTATTTGCATAATTTCTTTCTTGACGTGTTTCTTATCTTCCTGGTAAATATATTGAAATACCAAAATGATTTATGTTGAGAAATGTTGATAAAAATGATATAAACTGCATAATACTTAAAATGTATTCTTACAATAATGTGTTCATTGATCAAGTGGCCAATTTCTTTTATTTAAGAGGCAAACTACTTTTCTTTATGGTTACAGGGAAAGATGAATCAAATGAAATTGAAATGACAATTCCAGGTTTAGATTGGGGAATGGAGGAAGTGATGCAAAAGGACCAGAAAAAAGTACCTCAGAAGAAAGTTCCTTATGCAAAACCCATTCCTGCTCAGTTCCAGCAAGTAAGTAAAAGTGACTCCACCCCATCCATGCAGAGAGGTGTTGGTTGGTTAGTTTGACGTCTCTCTGGGATTATCTTGCTGCTGAAGGTGTTTCTGTACTGGAGTATTTTTCCCATATTCACTCACTCTTAGACATGGTCCTCATCTCCTGCTTTGCAGTTGTCTTGAGTTTGTTATGAATCTTCTCTGTTCTGTCCCCACCATGAGAGGAAATAGATCCACATCGTGAGAGGAAATAGAAGAAAGAGGCACGGAGCAGAGGGAGCATGTTGATTCTCTTCTCCATTGTTTATCCAGATTCTGCTTTAGTTGTCCCCTCAACACAAAGTGCATGTGCCCTGTGAAGAGGCTGGCAAGCTGTGCATTCTTAATAACATGCAGTATCTTGCGGCTTTTATCACCATAGTAATTTCTTTCTTTCTCTTTTTTTTTTAAATAAAGATGAGGTTTCACCATATTGGCCAGGCTGGTCTTGAACTCCTGACCTCAGGTGATCCACTCACCTCGGCCTCTCAAAGTGCTGGGATTACAGGTGTGAGCCGCCGCGCCCAGCCCACCATAGTAATTTCTACCTAGTAATATGTCTGCCTAAATTTATTCCCATGTCATTAAGAATTAGCCTGAGTCATGTACTCGAGTCATGGAGAAAAAGTAAAAAGAAATAAAGACAAGAGGTTAGATTGAGCAGATGACATTGTAGAGTGGTTTTCTCATTCTATCATTGTGATTTTCATACTTAGGGTATAGTTTAATATTCTCTTATTTCCCAAGGCTTGGATGCAAAATAAAGTTCCAATTCCTGCTCCAAATGAGGTGCTGAATGACAGAAAAGAAGACATTAAATTGGAAGAGAAGAAAAAAACACAAGCAGAAATTGAGCAAGAAATGGCTACATTACAGTATACTAACCCACAACTTCTGGAGGTATGTGAAGCTCTTTAGGGGGGAATTCAAGATGCTCTAAGAGGATGGTGGTGACATTTTCATTGATATACTCCTAAGGAAAAGGGAAATGACTCTCTAATGGGTCTGACACATACCACCATTTCCTGTTGCTATGCCAGAAGACTAGTTTCTAAAAGAATCCTGTTTCATAAAATTTTAAAAAATATGGTATGTATTTATTTTTATTTCTTTTATTTTTGAGACAGGGTCTTGCCCTGTCACCCAGGCTGGAATGCAGTGGTATGGTCATGGCTTACTACAACCTCTGCCTCTTGGGCTCAAGTGATCCTCCCATGTAAGCCTCTTGAGTGGCAGGGACTGCAGGCATGCACCACCATGCCTAACGTTTTTTTAAAAGTGACTTCCTAGGCCGGGTGCGGTGGCTCAAGCCTGTAATCCCAGCACTGTGGGAGGCCGAGGCGGGTGGATCACGAGGTCAAGAGATCGAGACCATCCTGGTCAACATGGTGGAACCCCGTCTCTACTAAAAATACAAAAAATTAGCTGGGCATGGTGGCGCATGCCTGTAATCCCAGCTACTCAGGAGGCTGAGGCAGGAGAATTGCCTGAACCCGGGAGGCGGAGGTTGCGGTGAGCCGAGATCGTGCCATTGCACTCCAGCCTGGGTAACAAGAGCGAAACTCTGTCTCAAAAAAAAAAAAAAAAAAAGTGACTTCCTTGAGTCATATATTGGACTTCTAAAGCCAAATTAGGGTCAGGCGTGGTGGCTTACACCTGTAATCTCAGCACTTTGGGAGGCCGAGGCAAGCAGATCATGTGAGATCAGGAGTTTGAGACCAGCCTGGCCAACATGGTGAAACTCTGCCTCTACTAAAAATACAAAAAGTAGCCAGGCGTGGTGGTGCGCGCCTGTAGTCCCAGCTACACAGGAGGCTGAGGCAGGAGAATTGCTTGAACTCCGGAGGCAGAGGTTGCAGTGAGCTGAGATCTTACCACTGCACTCTAGCCTGCACGAAAAAGTGACACTCCGTCTCAAAAACAACAACATAAAACCAAATTAGTGGGGCAGTGAGTAGATCTAAGTAAAATATACATTTTTAATAGAAAAGATAAAGGCAACATAGTTTTAATTTGAATTCACCTATTTATGAAAGAATTTTTCTTGTCAGCTCATATAGCAGGTAGCTAGTTCTTATTTTTCCTATCTATGTCAGCTACCAAGAATGACGAAATATTGGTAAATGATTGGGGTTTCCCTGATCAAGATGGATATAAATAATCCTGACTAGGCCAGGCATGGTGGCTCACGCCTGTAATCCCAGCACTTTGGGAGGCTGAGACAAGAGGATCAGTTACGCCCAGGAGTTTGAGATCAGCCTGGACAATATAGCAAGACCCTATGTCTACAAATAATAATAATTAGCTGGGTATTGTGGCACGTACCTGTAGTCCCAGCTACTCTGGAGGCCAAGGTGGGAGACTTACCTGAGCCCAGGAGGGTGAGGCTGTACAGAACCATGATCACACCACTGCACTCCAGCCTGGGGGACAGGAAATCAAAAAAACATAAAACAAAACAAAAAAACCTTACTACTGTGTTCCAGCCTTAATAAGAAAGGACCAGTGCTTGAGTGTTTCATGGACTCTAATTACCATTGGAGCATGAAGAGTTGGAGGAAGTTTTATGTTTATTTTGAGGGTCTGTAATGGAATACATAATAGCAATATTGGCGTCTTCAAGGGCTCTGGCTTATTTATTCAACATGCTTTTTTCTTTCTTTCTTTTCAGCAACTTAAAATTGAAAGACTTGCACAGAAACAGGTCGAGCAAATTCAGCCTCCTCCCTCATCTGGCACCCCTCTCCTCGGACCCCAGCCTTTTCAAGGACAAGGTCCAATGTCTCAGATTCCTCAAGGTTTTCAGCAGCCCCACCCATCTCAGCAGATGCCAATGAACATGGCTCAAATGGGGCCTCCAGGTCCACAGGGACAGTTTAGGCCTCCTGGACCTCAGGGACAAATGGGACCACAAGGTCCTCCACTGCATCAGGGAGGTGGGGGGCCACAAGGATTCATGGGACCACAGGGACCCCAGGGCCCACCCCAGGGGTTACCACGGCCTCAGGACATGCATGGGCCCCAAGGAATGCAGAGGCATCCTGGACCTCATGGCCCTTTGGGACCTCAGGGGCCACCTGGACCACAAGGTAGTTCTGGTCCTCAAGGTCATATTGGTCCTCAGGGTCCACCTGGCCCACAGGGTCACATAGGCCCCCAAGGTCCGCCTGGTCCCCAGGGTCACTTGGGCCCACAGGGGCCCCCTGGTACTCAAGGTATGCAGGGACCACCTGGTCCCAGAGGAATGCAGGGACCTCCTCATCCTCATGGGATCCAAGGTGGGCCAGGGTCTCAAGGGATCCAAGGTCCTGTGTCTCAGGGACCTCTGATGGGATTGAATCCAAGAGGAATGCAGGGCCCTCCAGGCCCCCGGGAGAACCAGGGTCCTGCTCCCCAAGGGATGATGATGGGCCACCCGCCTCAAGAGATGAGAGGACCTCACCCTCCAAGTGGACTACTGGGACATGGCCCTCAGGAAATGAGAGGTCCTCAAGAGATCCGAGGCATGCAGGGGCCTCCACCCCAAGGATCAATGCTGGGACCTCCCCAGGAATTGCGAGGGCCTCCAGGCTCACAAAGTCAGCAGGGGCCACCCCAGGGCTCTTTAGGACCTCCACCCCAGGGTGGCATGCAAGGACCCCCCGGACCTCAGGGACAGCAGAACCCAGCAAGAGGGCCACATCCATCTCAAGGGCCAATACCATTCCAGCAACAGAAAACACCTCTGCTAGGTGATGGGCCCCGGGCCCCCTTCAACCAGGTATTATTCATTTCCAACTTAACAGGCATTAATGCATTGGGAAAGTACACTCTTCACAGAAGCGATACTGCTGAGTATTGTGGAAAACGGTCACAGCTGGATAGAAATATTTATCAAGTAGTGGCAGTAGCTTAAGATACTAGCATCCTGGCTGAAGAGGGAAATCATAAGAATGAGTTAGGTTATACCCCCATTAAGTACATCTCAGTATTCATTTTTACTTCTTACCTTTTTTCTCTTGTTGTAATAGAGCTTCTTCCAGAAAAGATCCACTCTCATTTGAGTATAGTTGATCATTGTCCCAGGGCTCCAGGAGAGCTGTGACCCTGAGAAGGAGGCATGTTTTACATGGTGGTCAGCTCTAAGGCCGTCCTGCCCCCTTTTCCGGGCCCTTCACATTGCAGCCTGGTGTTCCATGGGCCTGCCAGCCACTGAGTCACCTCCTGTCTGCCAACTCTACTTTTAAAAGATACAGTGGGTATTTAACTCATAAGTGTACTATAGACTCTGTACCTCACTGTCTATTACAATGAATAGAAATCAAGAAGACCTGTGATTTCAGAGTTGAGCATTCCGGAAATTTTGACCCTTTGGATGAAACTCTGCTCAAGTTGTTTTCGGCTCACATATAAAAGTGTTGGCAGGAAGGAGTATTTCTGTAGAAACTCTCCTGTTTTGAGGACTCTGTTTTTGTTAGCCAATTCTTATTATTCATTCGCGGAGCTGTGCTTGAGAGATGGTGTGAGGAGAATTCAGGTTGCTTGGGGGAGTGAATTACAAAAAGAATTGCATGAGCGGAAATAGATTTAAATACTGTTCAGCTCTGTGGTTTTTATGTTTTTCTGAAGTTCTTAGCCTGGAGGCATTATTTGGGTCTGAATAATTGAGTTTTGTTCCTGAAAACTCGTCCAGTTGTGGACCAAAAGTGAGTGAGTGAGCTAACGTTGACTCCCTGAGATAGCTGGAGAAAGGGGATGCTACAGATGTAGAAAGCAGTCTTGTTTTGGTTTTTCAAGTACCACCAGAAATACCTAATGTAAAGGTAATCATTGGAGTTCCTGAACTCAGCTAATTAGCTAAGACAAATAAATTACATGCTATTCTTGAGTAGATCTTCCAGAACTTAAAAGTGTCATACCAATGGAGAATGTGAAGGCATCTGAATTATTTCCAGATTTTTATTAGTTACTTCTCAGAAGTTAGGATGAATTGAATTAAATATAGGGTTGCCATTCTAAATTGCCCTAAAACTTGAAGTATTATATATTTTATTAATTTATTGCTCAGTTGTATGTATATATAATATTATTTATTATAAGTTATTTTCCTGACTTTCTGATAGTAAATGAACAGTTCTCATTGGGGAGGATTAAGAAAATAATGAACTTTATTTAGCTACTGTGTTATAACTGAAATATTTATAAACGTGTCAGAGTCACAAGGACCGGCCTGAGTTTCTGGGACAATTCAATGGGATTTTTTATTGTGCCATATAGTAAAATATTTTATACATGAAAAGCATGATTCTGAAATTTTAACTGACCTATAGAAATATTGGTAGGATGAGTCTGAAGACCTGATACTTTGTAGGGCATTTCAGATTTCAGAAGTTGCGTGATGAAAATCTGTGCTCTTACTTCTTTTATGCTGAAATCTAACTTGCTTCACTTTAATCAGACCAGTTACTTAAACCAGTTGTTTTAATTGGTTTAATTTAGTGTTACTGTGTTAGGATTTCTGACTTTTTTTTTTTTTTTTTGGCATTACAAATAAAGATCTAATTTTAAATAAAAGTTGTCAACAGTTTTAAAATACAAGTGCTTTTTAAAAAATTCTTGTAAGAGAAGTTATCTCCTTTCTCCTGATTTAAGGACGATGTTGCTATCATCTCACTAGCTCAATATTTACTGGGTGTTTTTATCTTGTCGTAATACAATTGCTGTTTATGAAGCACAAGCCTGTGATTTCATACCCTTACTTTAAAAACCTATTTTCAGGAAGGACAGAGTGCAGGTCCCCCACCCCTGATACCAGGCCTAGGGCAGCAGGGAGCACAAGGTCGCATTCCTCCTCTGAACCCTGGACAAGGACCTGGCCCCAACAAAGGTAAATATCTGCTCAGCTGAATAAAAGATTATATTCTACCACCTTTGTGCACATTTTACAGTAAATAGTTTTGTTGGTCAATCATTGATAGACTGGTCATTTGAACCTCTGGGCAAAATAAGGGCATGGTCATTCAGATAAGAGCTTTGTCTTTGGTTGTTTTCTTAGATCTATTTAGTTAGGCAGCAACACTGGCCAGAGGAAGTAAGCCCCTCGCCCCAGAAGCTGACAGTGAAGGCACCTGGACAGGCTCTGGCAGTCGTGCCTGTGACAGGCTGGCCTTGCCCATCTGTTGGCAATGCAGGTGGTTTCTGTGCTCAATGAGCGCAAGCGTGTTTCTGTCATCCTGAAGAGATGAATTGTTTCTGCTTCAAGTTTTTAACAGTGTTTTTATTATCACACCCTTGTCCTCCCAAATCCTGTCATATATTGAATTCTTTAGCTGGTTACGTAGTTGTGCACCATTTGAAAAGAAGAAAGCACTCTACCCATATGTGGTTCCTCAGGTTGTTGATATGAAAAGCAACGAGGTGAGAATGATTAGAATGTAGATGTGGGGCTATTTGGAAGTTTAGAGTTAATCCTAGGGTTGAAGGAGAGCGCGCAGGGCACCGTGGTCCCTGAGATCAGTGGGACACCCCCTGCCTTGCAGAGTTGGAGCAGGAGCGTGGTGGGCAGCACGCTGTTGGGGAGAGTTGAAGGGGGTGACCCTGGGAGTGTGGGTGGAGGGGAGTGAGGAAACACTGTTATGTTCAACACACACTTTCATAGTGGGGAGAAGCCACAACTCCAAGAATCAGGAGGACTGCAGAGGTTGCCCTTCACAGAACTTTACTCTCTTAGTTTTAATTGGCTAAGCCCACAGCACTGTGTGGTACATGTTAAGATTCTTGCCCCCATTTTATCCAGTTAAGAAAAGTCCTTGTCAGCATTACAGTCCTAGGACTTTGTGAATTTAAGCTCAGTCTTGAATTTATGTGTGATACTAGAGGTAAGAAAGAGATAAGGGAACTAGGGAGAGTGTCTTTCTGTCTCACTGTGTAGAAGTGTTAGCAGAAGCTGTACAGAAGGAAGGTGGCTCACAGGGAACTAGAGAAGCAAAAGGAGAGTCTTTTATCCCCCAAGTTATTGCCATCAGCAAACTGAGAGCTGCCTCTCTTCCTCTCCCTGCCCTGTGTCTGTCTCCATCTCCTTCCCACTCATCCTTGCTCTTTCCCTTTTCTCTTTATCCTCCACCCTCTTTCTTTGTCTTCTTCCCTTCTCCTCCCAGGGACCAAAGGGAGAAGGGAGAGCTGAGAAAGTGTCCCTGCCATCCCCTACTGGATTAACCGCTTCCGCCACCCCATCACTGGTGGCCACATCCCTTCTAATTTGTAGTGGTGGGTTTCTTTCCTTGAAGAGCAGGGTACTTTTAAACAGATAGAGGTAATTGGGGGGATTAATATTCATAGGATTAATAAATCCAAACGGAATATGTTTACCTTCCTTACACCAAAGGTCTGCAGTGTCTGAGGTTATGCTAAGTTCAACAACATCATGTCAGGGAAGAAGCCATTAGCTGCAGGAACACACTGGGAAGTGAGGGAGCCTCTCTGCCAGAAGGAAATGAAGCTAGGATCTTTGCAAACTGCTGAATAGAGAGGAGAGGACTGGTAAAAGAGACAGATGGGACAGAAAGAGCTGGAGGAGAGAGACTCCTTTAATGGCACAGTATCATCCTGAGATTTCCAAGTGTTTTGTATATGTCGTATGGTAAGCAGGAATTGAAACAGCCAATAGAAATGAATGAAATCAAAGGGCAGGGGCCAAGTGCAATGGTGCATGCCTGTAATCCCAGCACTTTGGGAGGCTGAGAGGGCGGATCACTTGAGGTCAAGAGTTCAAGACCAGCCTGGCCAACATGGTGAAACCCCATCTCTACTAAAAATACAAAAATTAGCCAGGTGTGGTCCCTGTAATTCCTGCTACTTGGGAGGCTGAGGCAGGAGAATCGCTTGAATCTGGAAGGTGAAGGTTTCAGTGAACTGAGATCACGCCACTTCACTCCAGCCTGGGTGACAGAGTAAGACTGTGTCTCTAGAAAAGATAAAAGAAAAAGAAGAAGAAGGATGCTGGGAGGCTGAGAATTATGGCTGGCTGGGGTTACAGGAGGGGTTCGTCTTTATTGCCAGGGAAAAGCAGTGAAAGGCATGAGCTTTACTCAGTGGAGGAATTTCACTTAACACAGTTTTTGTTTTTATAATCAAGAGTATCCTTTCGCTTGATATCAAGAGTGCTTGATTTAAATTGTATGTTGACAAAAATAGGTAAACATTTATAAAAGCTGCAGTAGTTCAGTAGCTGGGAAAACAGTCCCTTCAAAGTTAGGAGGTGAACTAAGTTCACCATCACACATTTGACTGGCATCTTTCCATTTTATTCAGTACTTTCGCTATGATACATATTTTCAAATATTTTAGAAACCTTTTGTGGGATTCCAAACACCGTCTTCAGAGAATGGTGAGAATATTGTAGATGAGGAACAACATTCATAGATAGGTGCAGAAGACCCCGAAACTGAAGCCCAGCAGGGCTGTTTGGTCATCAGGCAGGTATTCGAGAGGCCAGTGATTCCATGCAACAAGGAATCAAGCACAACAAGCCGTGGCTAGAGGAGGGATGTCATGGGTGGTGGCAGTGGCGCCCTGTTGATGGGTATAGAGGTGAATTCTTGGCGTGCTTCCTGGCCTGCAGTATTAATTTCCTCTGTTGTGTCCTCCTTGGATGTGGAGCAGGTGGCCCTAATGAAATGCCTGAAAGAATGGGGGCAGACAAAGGAAGCTCCTGAAGCCCAGGAAGCTCTCTCATTTTCCAGTGTATAATAAGACATGGACAGACGCTGCTGATCTCATTTGAGATTAGTAATTTGCCCTAGCTAGTGGGTGATGACACTGAAGTCTGCACCCCAAAGCTCCTGTTCTTTCTATTGTACAATGCCTCAGGGACGTTTGTCATGTAACTAAGCTGAGAACCAAGGAGGGAAAACATTCTCAATAAAGAATGCATTCTGAAATGTGAAGATGCTGCAGATCAGACCTGTGTCAGCAGGTTTCCTGGAAGACGTGGTAAAGTCAGCTTTGTTTCCTTTAGGTGACTCCCGCGGCCCTCCAAACCATCACATGGGCCCGATGTCAGAGAGGCGGCATGAGCAGAGCGGCGGGCCTGAGCATGGGCCCGAGAGGGGGCCTTTCCGGGGTGGCCAAGACTGCAGGGGTCCCCCTGATAGGCGTGGCCCTCACCCAGACTTCCCCGATGACTTCAACAGACCAGATGACTTCCACCCTGACAAGCGCTTTGGCCACCGGTTACGTGAATTTGAGGGGCGAGGAGGACCTTTACCGCAAGAAGAGAAGTGGAGGCGAGGGGGCCCTGGGCCTCCATTTCCTCCTGATCACAGGGAATTCAGCGAAGGGGATGGCCGGGGTGCAGCCCGAGGCCCTCCGGGGGCATGGGAAGGCCGCAGACCTGGAGACGAACGTTTCCCCCGGGATCCTGAGGACCCACGTTTCCGAGGGCGCAGAGAAGAAAGGTGGGACAGATACTTTGTGGGCCCATTCTATCTTCAGGGGAGCTTTTTATCTGCTGCCTCCACAAAGATCTCTTCTTTTCTTGAGGAAAGATAATTATATCAGTTACTAGCCCTACACTCTAGAGTTTGCATTTGGACTTTTAAAAAAAGTGTGCTTTTTAACCTTAGTCTAGTTTTAATCTTTGCTGTTTAGAAGTCTTTTTCTTTTTGCTTATTTTTTAATTTTTTTTGGTCCTTTTAAAGAGATGGGAGGATCAGTATACTATACTTGCTGGGATCTGAGTTAGAGTTTCCAGGTTCTTCTCGATTAGAATGATGAAACGTGAGGTAGCTACCTAGATTGGAAATAAAGGGGTCGTGAAACAGATGCAATTTTTGAGTAATTGCCCAATAATCTTAACAAACTTAAACTGAAAAATAACCTTCCTGTTAAACTTAGATCAGGCTTGAACTCTCATCTCAGTCTGCTTGGGGAGTTTAAGGAACATTTAAGAAGAAATGTGGAGAAAGAAACAGGAATTAGCCCATGACCAGTGGCTCATGCCTGTAACCTCAGCACTTTGGGTGGCTGAGGCGGGAGCATTGCTTGAGGCCAGGAATTCAAGATCAGCCTGAGTAACGTAGTGAAACTCCATCTCTACAAAATAATGTAAAAATTAGCTGGGTTTGGTGGTGCATGCCTATAGTCCTAGCTACTCAGGAACCTGAGGTAGGAGGATCACCAGAAGCCAGGAGGCTGCAGTGAGTTATGATTATGCCATTGCACTTCAGCCTGGGCTACAGAGCGAGATCCTGTCTGTTAAAAAGGAAAAAAAAACCACCCAGGAATTAGTAAAATCTCAAGTGAGACTAAGAATAATTAAAGATGATGATAATTGAGTGTTTACTTTGTGTCAGATGTTGTTACCTTATTTAATTCAAGGAATTTGTTTTAATACAGGAAATTAATGACCTCATTTTATTTAAATAACTTGTGAGATAGGTGCAAATGTCAGCGTCAGTTGTAGATACAGGTTCAGACAGAATAAGAGCAGAGTCTTGACTTTCTGAGGTCTGGCAGGTGGTAGGTGTTGGAGCTGGGCTTCAGGCCCATGCTCTTCAGCACTTCAGCTTTTACTGTAGTCACTGACTGCTCCTTAGCCGTCCATCTGTGTCCTTTCATCCTGTTTTTTTTTTTCCTTGAGATGGAGTCTTGCTTTGTTGCCAGGCTGGAGTGCAGTAGAGCGATCTTGGTTCACTGCAGCCTCCACTATCTGGGTTCAAGCGATTCTCCTGCCTCAGCCTCCTGAGGATCTGGGATACAGGTGGCACGTGCCACTTTGCCTGGCGAAGTTTTGCATTTTTATAAGAGATGAGGTTTCACCGTGTTGGCCAGGCTGGTCTTGAACTCCTGACCTCAAGTGATTCACCCCCCTCAGCTTCCCAAAGTGCTAGGTTTACAGCATGAGCCACCTCACCCAGCCCTTTCATCCCATTTCTTACTACTCTTGTCAATAGGTGGTTGACTTAGGGTTGGCCATCCCACCCTCAGGGTGGTGAGAAAAGCATGGCTGATGACCCACCCAGAAGCATGACATAGTGGGGGCTCAGGAAGCAATTGTTTTGGGGAGGGGACATAGGGAGGTTAAAAATAAAGATGTAAGGGCTCCCGGTGTTCTTAAGACCCTTTCTCAGCGATACCCAAGCATTACCTTTGACATTGCTTTTTATGACTAGTAGAGCTTTACATCTACATAATTTTCACTGGTTTATTGAATCTCTGCATCTTGTGCAAAATGTTACATTTTACCTTGTCTTGTTTTCTTGTCTTTTTTTTTTTTTTTTTTTTTTTTGAGAGGGAGTCTTGCTCTGTCACCCAGGCTGGGGTGCAGTGGCACAATCTCTGCTCACTGCAACCTCTGCCTCCTGGGTTGAAGTGATTCCTGTGTTTCAGCCTCCCGAGTAGCTGGGATTATAGGCAAGCACCACCACGCCTGGCTAATTTTTGTATTTTTAGTAAAGACAGGGTTTCGCCTTGTTGGCCAGGCTGGTCTCGAACTCCTGACCTCAGGTGATCTGCTTGCCTCGGCCTCCCAAAGTGCTGGGATTACCGTCCCTGGCTGCTCTGTCTTGATTTGTATTGTATTTCATCTGTCAGTGCAGACCCACAGCCTAGGCTGGTGTGCAGTCACAGCTTTGTGCTGTTCTTCAGATATTCGACCCCTGCTCCTGCACCTGGGACACTGTGTTTGCTCTTCTCTCTGCCTGGAACACATGCTCCCAACTTTTTGAGGCTCATGCCATTTAGATGCCTCTCCTTGCCACCTCTAGTTCCTTTGCTCTGCTTTATATTTCGTCGTAGCACTGAGCACTGCTTGACCTAAAGCAATAATGCTTGGAAATCATTATTGCCTGTAGCTTCTGCAAGCATATTGCCTTCTGGCTGACGGAGGCTTAGTTTCCTCACCACTGTGTAAACCCTCAGGATCTGAGCAACAGTGTAGCACTGCAGTGTTTCTTGACTGTTGAATTAATGGATCTGTTAAATGGGAAGGAGAGATGAGAGGGGTCAGCCAGTCCATTAGCAAGTGTATTACTTGGGCTGCTATAACAAAGTACCAAAGACTGGGTGGCTTAAACAACAGGAATTTATTTTCTCACGCTCCTGGAGGCTAGATATTCCTGATCGAGGTCCAGCAGGGCTGGTTTCTGGTGAGGGCCCTCTTCCTGGCTGGCAGACAACTGCCTTTCTACTGTGTCCTCACATGTTGAGGGGTGGGGACATGAGGTCTCTCTGCTGTCTCTTTTATAGGAGATACAATCCCATAATCAGGGGTCCAGTTCATAATTATGACTTCAGTCCTAATTAACTCCACAAGGTCCTACCTTCTAGTATATCACACTGGTGTTTAGGGTTTCAGCATATGAATTGGAGCGGTAGGGGACAAAAACACTGAGTCCATAAAGGAGGCATTTTCTTATTAGGGCAGATTGGATTGTCTTTATCCCTTTGTAACTAGGGCAGTCATAATAGTGAGTTTAGGGAAGACATGCACCCTGCTGAGACCTCATGGCTCACCTGTCTCTTCCTCTTCTTGGCCAGCTCCACCCTTGCTGTAGTTTGTTATTTTGGCCAGTGTCTTCAGCACACCCTCTTGATTTGTAGGAAGCATGATTTGGTCAAGTTACCTTGGCACCAAGAAGGGTATTAAAAAGGTAGCTGGATCTCGGCAGGCTGAGGCAGGAGAATCACTGGAACCCGGGAGGCTGAGGCAGGAGAATCGCTGGAACCCGGGAGGCTGAGGCAGGAGAATCGCTGGAACCCGGGAGGCTGAGGCAGGAGAATCGCTTGAACCMGGGAGGCTGAGGCAGGAGAATCGCTTGAACCCGGGAGGCTGAGGCAGGAGAATCGCTGGAACTTGGGAGGCTGAGGCAGGAGAATCGCTGGAACCCGGGAGGCTGAGGCAGGAGAATTGCTTGAACCCGGGAGGCTGAGGCAGGAGAATCGCTTGAACCCGGGAGGCTGAGGCAGGAGAATCGCTGGAACCCAGGAAGGGGAGGCAGGAGAATCGCTTGAACCCGGGAGGCCGAGGTTGCAGTGAGCCGAGATCACGCCATTGCACTCCAGTGTGGACAAGAGCGAAACACCGCCTCAGAAAAAAAAAAAAAAAAAGGCAGCTGGAGTTGGGGAGTAGAAAAGAGAGATCTCTTTTTTCTAGCAGAATGCCAAGTGACAATTGTAGGAGGGATGGTAGAATGAGAAAACCATCTCTTTAATAAGCAATCCATGTCATAACTGATGCTGGCAAGGATCATCAGTGGGTGCTAAACCTATTGGGCAAAATATTGTGGGGAAGCCAGGTGTTCTCTCAGTGTCCCAGTGTTACCCCACAGAGTGCTTAATAATTACAAAGGGAAAAATGCACCTTTGTGACATCAAACTGTGGTTGCCACATCACCCCTGTGTCATAAACATGGAGACAAATGGGCTCACAAAAGGTCTAAGCAGGTTTTGCCAAAGTGTTCAACCTGAATCTAATGATGAGGAAACAGTCAGAGAAATTTAGAGTGTGAGATACCATAAAACTCTTGGATAGACCTCTCAAAAATGCCAAGCTCAGGAAAACAGAAATACAGGAGGGAACCACTCTAGATGAAAGGAGACCGAAGGAACGTGGCCACTCAGTAACAGCCTGTGGTCATGATTGAATTCTGTATTTAAAACAGCCCACTGCAAAGGACATTTTGAGGACCATTGGGGCAATTTGAATCGGGCCATTATTAAATACAATCACATATTACTGAGAGTTCACGTGAAGGTATTGTGGTTATATAGGAGAAAGTCCTTGTTCTTAGAAGAAATATACTGAAGCATTTAGGGGTGAAGCATTGTGTCGGCAGCCGATTTTGCAAATGGTTTAGAAAACATGTTTGTGAGTAGCTGGACAGAGAAAATAAAGCACGTGTGGCAAAATATTAAGAAAGGACTGATCTGGGTGGAGGATCTGGGCTCTTCATTCTACTGTTCTTTCAGCTTTACTGTAGGTTTGAAAATCTAATCTTTTAAGTAGAAGGTTAGGGTAAAAGACAATGGAATGGAAACCGGAGGAAGAGCAGAGAGGAGGCCACACAGCTCCTGCAGAGGGGCCCTGCAGGGCGGCACCACCGCCTCTCAGTGTGCACTGTCAGAAGGCCACTTCGTTTTCTTCCACACCATCCTGCCTCAGCAATACTCCCAGTCAGCGTAGTCTCCCAGCTCCAAAATTCCTGAGAGAGAGAAGGGGAAGCTGTTAACTAAGCAGGGCTCCAGGCTGCCAGCTAGTCAGTGGATGGCTTCCTATAAGCCAGATGCTAGCCTGTGTGCCCATCAGCTGTGGAGCAGGGCCATCAGTGTAGCTCGTGGCCATGGAGGCCTGCCTCTGGGTGCAGGCTGTGGGCTGGGGCAGATGGCAAAGCCCCTATCTACAAACAGGTCCAGTATAGTTGGCAGACATGATCTGTGCCCCCATTTTTCTGATTATGTAAGTTGTAAGTTTTTCTGATTATGTAAGTCATAAATGTTTATCATACAAATGTAGATGATAATGACAAGTTTTTGTAAGGCAGTGATATAGAGCCTGGGCCGAGGGTCAAGACTGGCTGAGTTCAGATCACCAGTACTTACTGTATGTCCTTGAATAAACGACTTCAGCAATCTGGGCCTCAGTGTTCTCATCAATGGAGCTGCTAATAATACCAGCTTCATATGGCGGCTGTGAGAATGAAATGAAGTAGCCGATGGACTTGGTATGGTATATATAGGCAGTTTAAACATGCTGATGTTATTATTATTCCCAAAAACCTAAAAGAAGCTTAAAGTAACCCCACACTCTGGTATGTTTCCTTCCTGTTTGTTTTTGCCTCTGGTAGAATTAATAGGATTATACAATGTATCCTTTTAAAAAATATATGGTTTTATTTTGTTTTCCTCCTAATTAGCATTGTATCATGCTTTCTCATATCATATGCTTCTTTGAAACATGAACTTAGAGTGGCAGGGTGTTCCCCAAGATGGACATTCTGCTGTTTTCTCTACAGTTTCAGAAGAGGAGCCCCCCCAAGACACGAGGGTCGTGCTCCCCCCAGAGGAAGGGATGGTTTTCCTGGTCCTGAAGACTTTGGTCCAGAGGAGAATTTTGATGCTTCTGAGGAAGCGGCCCGAGGACGAGATCTCAGAGGCCGAGGTCGGGGAACCCCGCGAGGTGAGCACATCACTGAGGACACCTGGTCTGGAAGGAGAGGGTGCAGAGTGTGGTGGGTATGAACACCCCGGGGTCAGTCTGAGTGCAGCACTGTTTGCTCTGTTGTGCAGGAGGAAGGAAGGGTTTACTTCCCACTCCTGACGAGTTCCCTCGCTTTGAAGGAGGGCGGAAGCCAGATTCCTGGGATGGAAACAGAGAGCCAGGTAAGGAAAGGCAACACTTGTTGGGTAACTCTAGATGAGCAGTTCACAAAGTGAGTTCTGAGGGCCCTTGCAGGGGTGCACTGGGTCCCCGCTTTGCAGCTCATGTCTCCCGGGGGGCTGGGTTGTCTCCTGTCCCGCAGCCGCAGCGTTTGATTTCAGCAGGTAGAATACAGAGCAGAAGAATCTGCCTGACATTACAGGGATCTGTCTGAGTATAAAACAGGACTGCTCTTTCCACTACATTGTTTTTGGAGAATAAAGTTAAATGAATTAAGATTTTCTCAGTCTCAATGGCTAATATGGTAAATATGCATAGTTATAACTCCCATTAACAAGATCTCTTAGGGGTCCTCAGTAACTTGAGACTGTAAAGATGTCTTGATACAATGCCTGAGAAGCATTTATCTGAATCTTACCTGCCCCCCTTACATGAGGAGGCACCCTGATGTCCAAGTGGCTTCCCCCTAGCCTGTGGCGGGCATTCGGCATGAGTGAACGGTGGCTGTCGAGTTGCTCCCCACTCTCAACAGTGTCATTCCCATCTGCTTTTGGTCGCACTGTGCTTTCCTGTAAGGAGATTTGTTTCCTTTTTCAGGGCCAGGTCATGAACATTTTCGTGATGCTCCCCGCCCTGATCATCCACCTCACGATGGTCATTCCCCAGCCAGCAGAGAACGCTCCTCTTCTCTCCAAGGCATGGACATGGCATCCCTACCTCCCCGAAAGCGCCCCTGGCATGATGGCCCAGGCACGTCTGAGCACAGAGAGATGGAGGCCCCAGGGGGCCCTTCTGAGGACCGAGGAGGCAAAGGTAAGAGCAGGCCAGTGGTTACGGTTCCAGGAGCTGCAGGGGCCGATGGAGGCCTGGGCCGTGCAGAGGCACGTCCTCCCAAATGTGGTGCTGGTGCCACACGAGCTGTCATCCGGTGAACTGCAGCTCGGGCCCACACACGACTTCAATTGCCTCCAGGAATCCCTGCTCACTCGAAGTTTTATTTCAGCCCTCTGCCAAGATGCCCCAGTACTCTCTGCTGGGCCTGTCTCTGGGAGCCCTGCTCTCATTGGCAGTCTGCCCTCCGTGAAGGCTGCTTGGAACCCTCAAGGGCTCTCAGTGGGAGGGGAAGAGTTGTCCTCTCCTGGGTTCTCTGCTGATTTTTTCAGCCTGGGTCTAGAGGAACACCGTTTGTGTCCAAGGTCACAAAGACTTTGGGAAACATGGTCTATGGGCAGTATTTCCAGGGACACAGTAGATTATGTCCCCCGCTGGAAACTCTGGAGCTTTATTTTATAGGCAGCACTAACTTTAGGAAGAGTAGTCGCCTGTGAAGCATGGGCGGGGCGGTCAGAGGCTTCTGGGAAGGCTGCTGCCTGCATGCCCCAGCTTGTGCTCTGCTTCTGGAGTTAGCCTGTCTGTATGGACGGTCCTTCCAGCACAGAGTTCTGCCATTTGGTCTTTTGGGTTGTTTTTGGAGATATAATTTTACTGTGTCACCCAGGCCAGAGTGCAGTGGTGTGATCTCAGCTCACTGCAAGAACCTCTGACTCCCGGGTTCAAGTGATTTGTGTGCCTCAGCCTCCAGAGTAGCTGGGACTATAGGTGTGCGCCACAAACACCTGGCGAAGTTTTGTGTTTTTAGAGAGGTGGGGTTTTGCCATGTTGGCCAGGCTGGCTTCAAATTCCTGGCCTCAAGCGATCCACCTGCCTTGGCCTCTCAAAGTGCTGGCATTACAGGCATGAACTACCATGCCTGGCCTGCCATTTGGTCTAGATAGTTGTTTTTCTCAACAAAACCCTCAGAAATTACCTCATGTATCATCAATAGATCTCCTGCATAAACACATCGTACTACTAGCCCGTGCGCCATGACCTTGGCTGACTTTCTTGGGCACTCGGCACACCGTAGTTAGGTCCGTCTGGCCAAGGACATGCATATAGATGGGAATGACGCAGTAGCTGACACTCTGCCCAGCTGCCCTCAGGTGGGCTGAAGCTGCACTTTGTAAGAAAAGAAGCCAAGATTGTTCCTTTGGCTGTCTCTCCTAACTTCATCTCACCTAGATTCATATTCTGTTACAAAATATGAGAGAACAGTTGGCTATAGTCTGAGAGTGCATTATTGGAGATGTGACCAAATCATGTCATTTTCTGAGGAAAACAATCTTACAAGGTAGAATTTTTTTTTCTTTTGTTTTAAAAAAATATTTTCAAGCTCCAACAGAATGAAATAATTTTAATAGTACCTCAACATTTGTGTGTACAAGTCTGAAGCAGGTTAAGCTATCCCTGGGTGATATAACATGAAAGCCAATGTTTTGTGGGTTTTTTGTGCTTTTCTTTTGTTTTTTCAAGAAATATTTTATTTTACTAATTATGAAAAGGAAGCCAAAAGTGCCGCATGTCATGGGACAGTCACAGAAAATACTCATCCTAGTTGGAGCACATTTTATTAACATCAACAGCACGCACGTCCTTCCAAAGTTAAGTCAGTGTATTCAAATCTTCCCTCAGCATACTCTGGTGGCTAGGAGTGGGTAGACACTCACAATGGCCTGGGACATGGCCCAGGAGCGTGGGGCAGGTCTCCCTGAAGGTGCTCTGCGCTCATCTCCTGGCTTCCTGTGGTCTGTCACACAGCCCTGGGGACACGGATCTAGCTGATGTTCAGCCCATGGCCATGAGCCGGGAACAGAGGGGCAGGGTCAGGAAAGGGCAGAGGCACAGCTCTCAGTGCTCTGAATACCACTGTCCGTCTCCCCGACACCCACCAGAAGCGGCCCACTGTCAGCACAGAGTAGAAGTTTGTACAGGTAGTTATTGACAAAACACAAAAAGTCCCATCTGAAATTTTCTTTGTTTCAGGCCGAGGGGGCCCAGGACCTGCCCAGAGAGTGCCCAAATCTGGGCGTTCCAGCTCGTTAGACGGAGAGCACCACGACGGATACCACAGAGATGAACCTTTCGGGGGCCCTCCAGGCAGTGGCACCCCTTCTCGAGGCGGCCGGAGTGGCAGTAACTGGGGTAGAGGGAGTAACATGAACTCTGGCCCACCGAGGCGAGGAGCTTCTCGGGGTGGTGGAAGGGGTCGGTAGAAGTTGGAACTGAGTAACCTGAGGCCTCTCTGGACAGTATTTAAGAACTTGTGGACTTACCAAGAGAAACAAAAGGAAGCCTGCACCGTTGTAGCCCTGAACTCTTTTCTGGGCACCTGAATCCCAGGAACCCTCAATGAGGTCTTCAAGATGAAGAGACTGCTGCTGGCCACCAGCGTGGCTGGCCTTGTCCTGTCCTGTCCACCCTCATTGCCCCAACTCCCATGTTGTTTTGTGAAGATAAAAGCTGGGATCTTTTTTTTTTTTTTTTTTTTTTAAGTGTCGCAAGACATGGGGCACCTCCACAAATTTAAGTTCCTGTCCATTTGGAAATTTGTTTCTATGTGTACAGTTTGTCAGAGAAAAACATAAAAGTTTTTGTATGAATACAGAATGTGATTTACCCAAGAATTAACAAAAAACTAGTTGTGGAGTGCTTGCCTTAAGGAAATCTTTGGTTTCCATCGCATCCCATCTGCAGAGGAGTGCACGATTGAGCATATTAACCATTAGGTCATTTAAATTAATCCCAGCTGTGAACTTTGTGGTTTTCAACAAATTCTCTTACACCATTTTGGTGATCGAGTGAGAAATACTTGAAAACTACTCGAATGTATTTTGTAGTAGGTTGAAATTTTTACTCAGACTTGCCTAATGATGGAAAATTATACTCTGAAGAGAAAATGCAATCTTCTGGCTGTTCAGTGAGGGAGCTCCCCCTTGGATGTATCTCCTAGGAATCACTGCTTAAGATTTGAATCGGCTTGTTATGAGAGGAACTTGATGTTAGTCAGAAATCCAGTCACATGTCCTTTAGATAACTTTAAATCACACATGGCGTTGATAAGGAATGGACCAAAATAGCTCCTAAAACAATTTTGCAACACTTAATCTTCCTCTTCCATACTAGCTATGTGGAAATACGGCAGGGCATACTTCTAACTCATAGTAAGCCAGACGGATCTTGTCCATGGCAAATTCTTTGTTTGAAATAAACGTACCATTTGGTCCAGTTTGGATTGGAAGCCAAAAATTCAGTTTATTATATATACCCCATGATACTTTCTATACTGACCTTTATTTTGGTTTTACATGGAAGCTTTTATTATTAAAAGGACTATCCTATGGCCACCTTAACATTTCATTACATTGACAGCTTCACTTTGGCGTCAGAGTCAGATTTATTTGGCAGATTTGGTAGTGCTTGAAGTTTCTTTTTTTCTTGAGACGGGCTTGCTCCATCATCCAGCCTGGAGTGCAGTGGTGCAATCATGCCTCACTGCGGCCTCAACCCTGCCTCAGCTTCCCTGTAGCTGGGACCACAGGCGCACACCGCCATGCCCAGCTAATTTTTTTGTATTTTTGGTAGAGGTGGGGTTTCACCATGTTGCCCAAGCTGGTCTAAAACTCCTGGGCTCAATCCACCCCCTGTGGCCTCCCACAGTGCTGAGATTGCAGGTGTGAGCCACAGCAACTGGCCGCTGGTGCTGGAAGTTTCAATGGTTGCTTAGAAAAGGCATACTGACATCATTTAACAGTATACAGAAATCTAACCAGTTCTCTATGAATGTAAAAAACAGCAAAAGCTAATTGATTTCTGTGGAGAAAATGTCAGCCACACACACTGCTTTTCAGTGTTAACAATCTAGAGACTGAGTAGTAGTAGTATTTTTTTACTTTGAAATTACAGCTGGTTTATCAGCACCGCACCATAAACATATTAGGAGTCTCAAGATTGCTTTATGTTGTGGGTATTTCTTCACTCTCCCCTAACTGGTATAGCTTAGAGAGAAACTGCAATCAAATTTCATGAGCTAAAACTGGATCCAGAGAACAAACCCATATCAAGATTAGACATTTTTTTTCTGAGATTCTAGTGTAAAGAATTTCATTATTTTGGGCTTTAACTTTAAAAACATAGTTATCCCAGTAAGGAGATAACCAGATCACATTTTTAAAAAAAAATTTCATTTTACCATTTAACTCTACTGGACTCGACAGATCACATTTTGAGAAGAAAACAAAAACCTCTATATTATTTTTATTAAATATATATATATAGCCTTTAAAAACATCACTGTCAGAATGTATACTAGATGTTGTGATTTGGAGCTTATAAAAGTTATATTTTCAATGTTTGAATTGAGAAAAAGTTTTTGAGACAGAGTCTCATTCTGTTGCCCAGGCTGGGGTGCAGCGGTACGACTGCAGCTCACTGCAGCCCCGACCCTCTGGGCTCAAGCAATCTTCCCACTTCAGCCCCGCTATGAGTAGCTGGGATCACAGTTGTGCACCACCGCAGCTGGCAAAGTTTTTAAACATTTTTTGTGAAGATGGGGTTTAACTATGCTGCCCAGGCTGGTCTTGAATTCCTGGCCTCAAGTGACCTCCCGCCTTGGCCTCCCAAAATGCTGGGATTACAGGTGTGAGCCAACAGCTGAGAAATGTTAAGTGTTTACAAAATAAACACTGTAAAATTTATAAAACCCCAACGACTGCAAATTCTAGAGAAATTTAAAACTAGAACAGAAATTTAGGGGGCTAGAAAGAGCAGCCAATGGCATAAGTCGTCTTTACAACTGAAAAAATAAATCATTCTGAAAATACTGCATTTGCTCTCAGAGCAGCCTTTTGAGGTAGGTAACCTTGTTTACTGACGGGGAGCAAGGCAGTGTTCTTTAGCAAAACTCAGGATGGGTAGCCTGCAAGCCAACAGTGTAGATGCCGGCCACTGTGTCACTTCTTGGGACAGGGCTTAGGGACGTGACTTAGGCACACACATTTTGGGGCTGGAGGGAGCAGCAGCGCTGTACTACTGCACGACAGACACCCTGTGAAGGCAACACTGGGATCCAGCTCAGTATACGCATTATTTTCAAACTGTGCAAGCCAGGGCACAGAAAAAGTAGTGGTCCTCAACCTCGGGGAACACAGAATCACCTGTGGAGCTTTAAAAAGGTTTTGATGCATCCGAGTCATGGCACCAAAAAGAAAAAAAAAAAAAAAAAGAAAAAAAAAAAAAGGTTCTGATGCCTGGAACCTAGTTCCCACGTTCTGACTGCACTGATCTGAGGTGTGGCTCTTCAAGTAACGGATGAGCAGTCAAGCGTGAGAACCACTGGCACAGAATGTTTATATTCCAAATATATTTTACTTCCTAGTGTATTGCTACTGACAAGACGTAGTTTTCTGGACTCAAAGAGTGTTAGGCTCATACTTACTGGCAATAAATTAAGGTAGGTAAAAGTAAGTGCTGAACCTGAAATGAAGAAAGAGCAATTAGATATGAAAAGCATCTTAAGACCAGCCTGCAAATTGTAAACTAGTTTACAAAGCAGACCATAAAATGAGGAGTAATTCGAGCTTGTAGAAATCCATGGTTTCCACCAGATACAGGAATTCCGGACGTAGAATTATCTTCCTATTTGCAGGATTTCTTTCGAGACCGCTAAGCAGGTACGTGTCCCTTCCTGGATCCCATGCTTCTTGGGGCAGGAAATTTCTTTTGGTCCATCGCTTTCGTCGTGAAATAGAGAACTAATTTTCCCTTCATGTTATAAGGCACTATATTTATGATTTCGTTAACTGAAGAAAAAGCCCAAGATAAACCATCTTAAATAAGTACTTTTAAAAGTCCAGTGGCTGAATTCGGTGTTTGATCTGATACCCTTCTGGATTCGTTGACACTGAAGCATGAGAGAATAACTTCCAAGCCTTGGTATAGTCAAAAAAGTACTGTCACCAGCCTACATCTAACACTGGATTTTTAAATGACAAAACAGCCTGAGAAAAGACCAAGAACAGCTAATTCAAAGAAAAGCCATTTTTCTTTACTCAGCCGAACCTAAGACCACAGTTACTTCGAGAGTAACTTAATCGTCTCACATCCTGTCACCAGTTCAATGATAAAATCTCCAGAGCACGTTCCGAGTCCAGCACAAGACGCTGACATTCAAGAGCTCCCGAAGCTGCTGTCGCCTCCGGTGCCAGCAGCCACTCCCAGCTTAGACTCGCAGGTGGTCGCCGAAGGGCCTTCGCCGCGGGGTCCCGGCACCCGCGTGCAGTCCTGGGCTCCGCCGGCGCTGGCTCCACGTCCTTCCCAGGTGGCGCGGGCGCGAAGTCCTCACACGGGCAGAGCCTTGGAGAGGCCGGCGCCGCGGCCCAGGCGACCCAGCGCGAGGCGCAACGCCGTGCCGCCGCCCCAGGGCAGCAGCCCGACCAGCGCCGCCAGCAGCGCGGCCACCTGCGCGCCCGCGCCCAGCACCGTGAGCAGCGTGCTCCGCAGGCTCAGCGCGGCAAACAGCGTGGCGCCCAGCGCGGCCCCGTAGAGCAGCGCGGGCCGCGACGGCGCCTCTTCGCAGCGCAGCAGGCGCCCACATGCCGCGCCGCCCCGCAGCAGCGCGCCTCCCGCCAGCGCCAGCGCCGAGCCCAGCGACCAGAGCAGCGCGAACTTGCGCGCGCGCAGCAGCAGCACCGGCACGTAGAGCGCGGCCAGGCCGAAGCAGAGTGCCGCCAGCAGCAGGCACCCGCCGCCCGCCGCCAGTCGCTGCCCGCGCGTCACGCTCGGCAGACACACCGGGCCCGCAGCTGCCGACTCCGCCGAGTTCCGCGACCACGTCCAGCTCAGGCCCGCGCGGCCCAGCCACGCCCCCGCCGGTCCGTCTCCGGGCTCCTCCGCCTTCCCCGCGGCGAGCAGCGGCTCCGCGGCCGCCTGGCCGCCCGCTTTCCCCTGCGCCAGGTACTCCTGCAGCTGGCGGTGAAGGTCCGCCATCTTGGACAAGGCGGTGGCTGGAGGTAAAAGCTGACGCTCATTTCCGGCCCTCCCCTGCCGCGGACGGAAGCGGCTCGGCCTTCGGGCGGCAATTGGTCGGCCGCGGCGAAAGGGGCGGGATTCGGAGCGCTGGCGGAAGTGGGTGCTTCCTCCGCGGACCTCTGCGGTGTCACGGACTACCACGGGCGTGGGTGCTGCTAGTCCGCCTTCAATCGCCCTCCCATTGCCTGACCCTCCTCTTTGTCCCAAGTAGGAGTCCTTACGATCTGGCTAAGTCCTGCCAGCACTAAGTTAGTTGGAAGGCCAGGGTGGGTGTGGCTCTAAGGGGGCGCAAGAGGGTCCCTTCTGCTGATGGAAATGCCCTACGGCCTGACCGCGTCTACCGTGGCGGTGATGTCGTGCTAGTTTTGCAACATGGAGGAATCGGGTAAAGGGTACACAGGATCTCTCATGTTTCTTGCAACTGAACACAAACTTACAGTGGTCTCAAAATAAAAATTTAATTTTTAAAAAAGTTCACACCTGTGTGACTCAGGTGGTTTATTTTTGGGGAACGTCGCGTCCTGATTTGTCACTTCACTTATAGTAATAGTGACCATCCTGATCACTTACCGTGGGGTTGATAAAGGAAAGGTTGACCCCCACCATGCTCAGCCTGCTTCTCTATTCGGTTCTCAGTTTCGGCCACAGGCCTGGCAACATCCTTGACTCCTTTGCGCCCCGTGTGCAAGACTCGGTGCTGCTGTCCTGTTCGGTGTCACTCTTGTGCTCTGGACAGCGCCACGCCCAAGTTTCCGGACTCATCGTCAGGTCACTCAGAAAAGCGCCCCCGCCCCGCGCAGGCCAATCCTGATCTATTCTCAGGCCACGTCTACGTGCCCTGCTCTTTCTCAGAGCCTGCTAGCGGGGTCTGCCTGAGATTCCTTTCACAGGTTACATTCCTCCAGGCTTACCTGGGCTTCTCCCTCCAGCTGCCTTCACAGCGCCCCTCACCACCTTGGCTTCCTCTGGGTGGCCCTGAGTCCTTTGTCCTCTGCCCTAGGTGGATGTAATGTTAATGGTTTCCTGTGGTTTGGCTTCTCAGCCTTTCCATCCCCTGTATAACTAATCTCCGCCACTAAATTCCTTTTAAAGTTCTCTGTTTTCTTGGTTTAATCCTGACAGATATAATTCGTTTTCAAAATACATTCTGATTTGTTACCTCACTTGATAATAACAGTGACCGTCCTGATCACTTAGCATGGGCTAAACCATGGATGGCTATGATCAAAACAAACACACCAGAAAGTTACAAGTGCTGTCAAGAATGTGGAGGAGTTGGAAGCCTTGTGCACTGTTGGTGGGAATGTAAAATGCTACAGCCGCTGTGGAAAACAGTATGGAAGTTCCTGAAAATAAATAAATAAATAAATAATGTATATATATGCACACACAGACAAATACATAACGCACATGCATATATGTGTGTATGTGTCTATATAATTACAATCTGATCCAGCAATTCCACTCTGGGTATACACCCCAAAGAATTGAAAGCAGGGTCTCAGAGATTTGTACACCTCTTCACAGCAGCGCTATTCACGTTAGTCAAGAGGTGGAAGCAACCCAAGTATCCATCAGCAGATAAATAAAATGAGATATATGCATACGATGGACTATCATTCAGCCTTAAAAAGGAAGGAAATTCTAACACGTGCTATAACATGGGTGAACGTTGAGGACACTATGCTCAGTGAAATAGGTCAGCCACAGAAAGAACCAATACTGCATGGCTCCACTTCTGTGAGGTACTTACAGTCAAATACACAGAGCTAGAAAGTGAACTGGGGACATGAATGCCCATCAGTGATGTTACCTAATCTTTTGTGCAGCTACGATATTGAAAAGGCAGGACTGTGCTGCTCATTTTGTAGGTGAGGGAAACAGAAATACCAAGAAGTAAAGTGACCTACCCAAGGTCACCTACAAAATTGACGATAGGGCAGGGTTAGGTTGCGATTTCTGGTTTCTAGCCTTGTGGGCTTCCCATTGCAGAAAGAGGCCTTCACTGGGAGTCCCTCTGCGTGCGCCCTGGATGCGCTTTCTGCTCTGGTTTGGTTGTGGAAAGATCATAACAAAACCCTCCCTCCCCCAGCACTGCAGCAAAACTCACCCTCACAATCATCACTTGCTTCCCTGTCTCCCTTGAGGCCCTTCAACCATGTCTTCACTTCACCGTGATGGAAAATCGTTCATCACAAAATCGCCAGACGCTGTTGCCAAGTCTGGTGAGTTTCAGCCATCAGCCCCAGCTTGGCTGTCCCTCCTCCTCAGTCCTTAGCGTGACCGTGCCTGGGGCATCTCCTCTTTTCTCTTGGCATCCTCTCCCCAGCCCATGTTGTTAACACCATCCGTGTGCAGAGCCTCCCCAACTTCTCCAGCAGGCATCTAACAGGCGCCCTGGAGGTGATATGCAGAACCAAACACTTCACTCCTGACTTCCCCTCCTCATCCCCCAAAACCTGTAGCTACCCCCTCCTTCCCCACCTCAGTAAGTCGAATCCCATCAGCAAGTCCCACCAGCTCTACCTTGGAAACAGATCCAGTACTGGCCCATTCTCTCCACCACTAACCCCACATCTGGGCACCCGCCTTCATCTCACCACGGTGCCCTGCTTTTTTGGGGGGTTTTTCTTTCTGAGATGGAGTTTCATTCTTGTTGCCCAGGCAGGAGTACAGAGGTACGATCTCAGCTCACTGCAACCTCTGCCTCTCAGGTTCAAGTGATTCTCCTGCCTCAGCCTCCCAAGTAGCTGGGATTACAGGCATGCGCACCCTGCTAATTTTTGTATTTTTACAAAAATTACTAAACATCGCCATGTTGGTCAGGCCGGTCTCAAACTCCTTCCTCCCCTCCCCCCTCCCCCTCCCTTTCCCTCTCTTCCCCTCTCCCTTCCTCTCCCCCTCCTCTCTCCCCTCCTCCTCCCTATATTCCCCTCCCCATCCTCTCTCTTCCTCCTCCCTCCCCACCCCACTTCCCTCTTCCCTTTCCGTCTCCTGTCCCTCCCTCCTTTCTTTCCTCCCTCCCCTCCCCCTCCCTCCCTTCTTTCCCTCCTTCCCTCCCCCTCCCTCCCTCTTTCCCTCCTTCCCTCCCCCTCCCTCCCTTCCTTCTCTCCTTCCCTCCTTCCCTCCTTCCCTTCCTTCCTTCCTTTTTTCCTTCCTTCCTTCCTTCTTTCCCTCCTTCCCTCCCCCTCCCTCCCTTCCTTCTCTCCTTCCCTCCCTTCCTTCTTTCCTTCCTTCCTTCTTTCCTTCCTTCTTTCCCTCCTTCCCTCCTTCCCTCCCTTCCTTCTCTCCTTCCCTCCCTTCCTTCTTTCCTTCCTTCCTTCCTTCTTTCTTTTTTTCTTCCTTCTTTCCTTCCTTCTTTCTTCCCTCCCTCCCTCCCTTCTCTCTCCCCCTTCCTCCCATCCTTCATTTTGAGGCTGTCCTTCCTTCTGAACCCCATTCACAGTGGACATTGATGTAGATGGAGATGCAAAAGAGGCAGACTCACACAAGTGCAACAGGGCCCTGGAAGGGTTTTTTAAAAAAATTTCTTGTTCTGAAACCCTATTCTGTGTTCCTCTGTGTGGTACTCAATGGCCTTGCCCCCGAGGGGAAGCCTGGCTTTTCAGGAGCTTTAGATTTCACTGCCTGGGCACCAGGCAGGGCCTGGCCTCAGCGCTCACAGCCACTGCATCTGCAGATCCTGGGCAGGGGCTCCTTGGGGACCTGCGTCCTCCCTCCCACTCTTGTCAAACTTTAGCACAAGGTTGGGGAGGCCCCAGCTCCCACCTCCCCCAGGGGCACGGACCAGAGCCAGACTTTACTTCTACTGAGGTCTTCCACCTTGACCTAAGGAAGCGGTACCCTTCGCAGCAAATCCTCTCCCACCTGCAGGAAACATATTTTCCCCCAGAGCCCAGCAAGTGTAATCCACGCTTCTTTTGAGAAGTTTCCAGAGTGGCATCTCCCTCCCTCCCCTGTCTGCCCTGGCCCTCTCTGTTCAGCTGGGTTTACTTGTTCCCTGCCCGGCCTCCACCTGAACTACGTTCTCCTTTCCTTCAGTGTGGTGGGTCCACCAGCGCCAGGCAGCTCTTCATTTCTGAGAAAATATCTTGCTCTGTCGCCCAGGCTGGAGTGCAATGGCATGATCTCGGCTCACTGAAACCTCCACCTCCTGGGTTCAAGCGATTCTCCCACCTCAGCCTCCCGAGTAGCTGGGACTACAGACGCATGCCATCATTTTTTGTAAAGACAGGGTTTCCACAGGTGGCCCAGGTGGTCTCGACCTTCAGAGCTCAAGTGATCCTCCCGCCTCAGCCTCCCAGAGTGCTGGGATTACAGGCATGAGCCACCACGCCTGGCCCACGAGGGCCCCTTTTCAAAACTGAAATCTAGTCATGTCCCCTTTGCCTAATATTCTTTAGCGGCCCCTTGTCTCTTACAGAATAAATTCTAAATCCCTGACTGCCACCCAGCCTTCTAGGCCCTGCCTTAGGCCCCTGTGGCTCTCCCTGAGGCTCTGTGGGGTCCTTCTGGGCCTAGCAGTTTAGAGACTCCCTTCTTCTGTGGCTTTGCTGAGCCTGGGCTCTTGTTGGGTGGAAGCCTGTCTACTGCTCCTCCTCCTCCCTCTCCCATGCTTCCGCTTCCTCCAGGTCACCCCTCAGGGCCCACACAGCCCTGTCACTGACTGGTGACATTGCCAATGCCTTGAGGAGTTTTGTTATCAGGCAAATGGGTTCACTGCTCAATGCACAGCAAAGCCAGTGATAACAGTACCAGCTTTTGAGAAAAGAAAGGCTTTATTGCAAAACTGACCAGCAAGGAGGCAGGAGCTGGGTTCAAATCTGTCTCCCCAATTTGAGTCTGGGGCAAGCTTTAAGGGATCAGAGGGCAAGGGAAATGATTTTGGAATGTGGGCTTGGCAGGGTCTGATGGGGGGCGGGCTTCAAATTTGCCCATTTATGGAAAGATTTGTCAAGGCAGATTTGAGCCCTAGTCTCCCAGGCCAATGGACTCCTGCTTCTGAAAAATGTCTGTGTTGGGGTTCCAGTCCCATCCCGGTCTTCTTGATTCCAAGGGGAGGAGTTGTTGGTTCCGGGTGTGGTTAGAGGCCCAAGCATGTTCCACTGCGCATGCCCGGGCTA